AACAATTATGCCTCAGTCGTGATATTTTTCTGGTAGACTAGTGTTCTCAAATTACTCTTCATAAACTGTCAGTCAGAATGCCAATGTGAGAAAACCTGTATGGGCTTATTTTTGTATTTTCACAGATCTAACAACTTTGGCAGGTATAATGTTTCAAAAAGGTGTCCCCCTACACAGTGGCTGAACTAATGTAGAAAGGGCCCTGGTGCAGGAATGTTTTGGATACTCAAAAAGTAGATCCCCATCTGTGGTAAAAATTCCACAATACTTTGACAGCTGGGATTCTACCATTTTCCCATGCTTGCAGGGTTGTATTTAGCACCGAGCAGTGTCTGTTTGTTTAAATGTAAGCATGTTTTTGTATGGAGTATGTTTGTGGGAATGTAGTGTTAGCATTGAATGCAAGCAGGACTTTGTGTGCAGCCTGTTTTTTGAATGCAGTGGTGTGTTTATATATAATTTTGTTTTTTAATTCAGAGGTATGTTTGTATGCAGTGCTGACGTTTGAATGCACGAGTGTTTGTATGTAGTGTTGATGTTTAAATGCAGGGGTGTTTGTATGTAGTGTTGGCTTTTGAATGCTGAAATGTATGCACATATACACTGACACACACAGATACACACAGTGACAAACATGCAGATACACAGATATACACAGTGACACACAGATATTCACACAGTGACATACATGTAGATATACACACAGTGACACATATGCAGACATACAGACACACATATACACACACTGACACACACAGAGACAGAGATAAACAGAGATATACTGACAACACACACACACACATACTGATGTACACACTGACACAAATACAGATATACAGACACACAGACTGACACATGCAAATATACATATACGCACTGACACACACACAGATACACACTCTGACACACAAACAGATACACATACTGGCAGCATACATCTACACACTGACACACATAAATACACACTGACACACATACAAATACATAGATACACATACTGACAACATACATCTACACACTGACACACATAGATATACGCAATGACACATCCACAGATACACACTGACACACATACAGATACACACACTGACACACATACAAATACACAGACACACACTGACATCCAGATACAGAGACACACACACTAATACACTGATTTACACACTGGCAGACACAGATATACAGACACCCACATTAACAGACATACATATATACATACACACGGACAGATACACACATTCACATGCTGGTCAAGATTTACACTTTCATTCACACCCTCCAGTTTCCTACCTTCTGCAGGAGGGTGGCTTCTCTGGGGTCCAGTAGCAGGCTAAGGCTGTTGGGAGTGGCGGTTTAACACAAACATCTTTTATGTTACCAAAATGGCCTCAATATTATGAAGATAAGTTTGATCTTTTGAATATGTGCTAAAGCAAAATTGTCTAAGCACCTAGGTGTCAGTGGATATTATTCCTACCTTCAGAAAAAATAGACTATTATTTGCACTAGTAGTTAGTTTGAATTATTGAGCATTCCATTGGAGATCACATATTAGTTAGTAGACTTAATTGCATTAACCCCATTATTTTAAGGTGTTACTAAGCTGTCAACCCACTTTAAAAGGGAATTATCAACTCAAAATTGCTACTGCCATGTCCAGTTGTCTATGCCAGGGGGTCCCAACCCAGTCCTCAAATACCCTCTACCAGTCCAGGATTTAGGAATTATCCTGTTTTGTCTATAGTGTTGTTTCCCCCTTTTTCTTCAAACACCTTAGACACAACTGGGTAATTCTAAATTAAAATATTGTAAACAGCGCTAAAAAGGCATCCAAAGGAGTGGTGAAAATAATTGGTAATTTTTTTTTTTTTTTTATTCTCCTTTAACAGTACAAAAAAATAAAAAATAAAATAAAAGTGCTGAATAATAAATACCAATAAGTAATCAATGCTGCTACACACTTAAGTGCTGTGTCTCCAGACAACCAATAAGTGGAGCGCAAACCAATAATATCAAAGAGCCCCTGTGTACACAAATAAGTGCAAAATATGGCAATATAGAGAGGTATACTTGGGTAGCTCTGGGTAAATCCAGGACACTCAAGAAGAACAATAAGCATAAAAAGACAAATTAATCGTGCAGTATATTAACAAGGATATTATCAATAAACAATAGCGGGCAATGACAAAGATTGTATAATGGACATATAATGTAACATTTATTTAACACATGAAACACATAAAAATCCACAAAAAGAAATACAAAATTAGAATGTGCAGCTGCTTACAGAATAGCTGAAGGTGAGTGTATTGACAAGTGTAGTTAAATACAAACTATACAATCGTACAAAATCATATAACCAGCACTTCTATGTCTAAAAATAAAAGGGATAATTTAATGCCATTAAAGGACCACCATATGCACCCAGACCACTTCAGCTTAATGAAGTGGTCTGGGTGCCAGGTCCACCTAGGATTAACCCTTTCTGCTGTAAACATAGCAGCTTCATAGAAACTGCTATGTTTAGTTTAGGGTTAATCCAGCCTCACTGACAGCCGCTAGAGGCGCTTCCGCGCTTCTCACTGTGATTTTCACAGTGAGAAGATGCCAGCGTCCATATGAAAGCATTGAGAATGTTTTCCTACGAGACTGGCTGAATGCGCACATGGCTCTTGCCGCGCATGTGCATTTAGCTGATGACGGGGAAAGGAGGCGAGTCTCCAGCACCGGGCTCCCTCGGTGCTGGAGACTCTCCTCCTTTCCCCGTCATCAGGTAAGTGTTTAACCCCTTCCACTCCATCCAGCCCGGCGGGAGTGGGACCCTGAGGGTGGGGGCACACTAAGGCCACTATAGTGCCAGAAAAACAAGTATGTTTTCCTGGCACTATAGTGGTCCTTTAATAAGAACATTTTAATATAAGCATTATAATAGGATAAAAGCAGTATAATAGGATAGGATCCTTTTATCCTATTATAATGCCTATATTAAAATGTCCTTATTAATGGCGATTAACTTCTTCCTTTTATTTTTAGACATACAAGTGCTGGTTATATGATTTTGTACTATTGTATTGTTTGTATTTAACTACATACTGACATGTAACTAATAAAGCAAATGGGTACCTATCGGCAATTATGCAAATAAATACTTTTACTATTCAACCAATAAGAGATTATGAGAGATGGACTTGATTGCCCTTAAATCATCCCATTAGCAACATAGTGGACACGTACTGAATGTCCTGAAGAAGCCGACAGGTGAAACGCGTAGGCGTGATATGTATTGACGTCATCAGTGGGTGGCACTGTGAATCCCGAGATTTTCAATCAGCCTCACCTTTGCAGACGTCGAGTGTATACTCAGCGCGCATCCAGCGAAACAGCTCCACCAAAGTGGAATCGGTTTTATCCACCTCTAGCATGAGCGTCATGTATTGGATACATACAAACACTGGCGAGTAGCGGGGCACTTTGATCGTATACACTCACCATCAGCTATTACATAAGCAGCTGTGCATTCTAATTTTTTATTTCTTTTTTGGGGATTTTTATGTGTTTCATGTGTTTAATAAATTTTATGTTATATGTCCATTATACAATCTTTGTCATTGCCAGCTAATGTTTATTGATAATATCCTTGTTGATATGCTGCAAGATCATTCGTTCTTTTTATGCTTAGTGTTTTTCATGAGTGTCCTGGATTTACCCAGAGCTGCCTAAGTATACCTCTCTATATTGCCATATTTTGCACTTATTGGTGTACACAGGGGCTCTTTTATATTGGTTTGCGCTCCACTTATAGATCTCTTTTCCACAACTGGGTAATCCCAAAATCCTGGACTGTTAGGGGATACTTCAGGACTGGGTTGGGAACCAATGGTGTATTTGCTGAAAAGTGGATTATCAATTAAATGTAACTACTAACTAGTGGAGATACAGAGCCACTCCCTTCCTAGTTAAGATACTGACTTTATAGGTTGTTCTGAATACATCAAGCCCCGTATACTTTCAATAACCTCCCTGATGTGAGCATTTATTTAATTTACTATACAAGATATGTAAACACTGTGACTTTAAGGAGATTTAGCCTATGTAGGTTAGAACCTAAATTTGCTCATTCATTTTATTTAGCATCTGTTTAGTATTCAGCTTAAGTATCAATATTCAGTTTTTTCCCCATTTGTACTATGTTGCATGAAATCAATGTTTCTTGTGGCATGGATACCGTCAGAAAGCCAAGTTGGGAAACATTGTATACATTTACATAGATTTACTTTACTGTGGCATTAGCATGATATTATTTAAGGCTGTACAATCTTCCTTTCTCATTCCTGTTGTCTTTATTATTAAGGATTAATTCTTGGTCTATTTTTTTATCTCTTACATTCATGTGTCCATATATCTCCATCTCTTTAGTGATAACTTTGATCTTTGGAAAACGTGACACAGCAAATTATCTTATGTTATAAACTAAAGAGTTTATTTATGGAGATCTGATGACAAATACAAATTAGTAAACAGGGCATTCTAGAGCACCTTACTGACAATCTTTAACCGTCAATTATATTACGGTCATTTTCATGGCATTAGTGTCATTTGGATATAACGTCGGCAAGATATGTCTGCTGTGTGATGACTGTTTGGAGTTCAACTGGAGCAGGGACCCACTGAAGGACAAGCTATTTGTTGAGTTGTTGTCCGTATTCAGTATTCTCTTGCACTCTGTTTTAGATTGTTTGCAGTCCATAAGGTAAAAGAATAATTAAGATGTGGGCCCCTTACACACTGTGCATAGATGGATATCAGCTGTGTTTCTGACAATGCCTAACAAGACCGAAAAGAACATCTGGGGTTGCTGTATCTCTAATGCAGAGGAAGGTGACCTGTATTTTGGACCTGGACCACCCTTTTGGGTGGGATCAGTCTGATATGTAAAGTCTGTTTAATCTCTGTAATGACACACGATGAGCAAAACCCACCTCGGAAAAGCAAAAGCCACTTTCCTGACCAAAACCCTGATAATATACAACAATTCAAAAAAAGCAAGCTTTTTGGAATTGTTGTATATTGTCAGGGGTTTGGTCGGGAAGGGGCGCTGACCAGTGCAGCAACCTCTATAGGGTGGAACCAAGTCTACTCTTGTTCTCTGTTTTAGTTTGTTTGCTCTTAGCAATGCCTCACTAAATGCTGAAATGTTTATCTTCTGCAGACAATTATGTTAGTGCAATGTTTACAGCATTAATGTCCTTTGGATATATGATTTGTGTGAGGTATGATAATGATGACTGCTTATGGCTCATCTGAGCTTCTTAATCAAAATGTCACAAGCAAATCTTCATGGATCTACCTGCATGGCAAGCACCTTCATTGCAACCTATATATCTACTCTTCATTCCCATGTACACATGCCCATGAGATGCTTAGATTTTTTTTTTTTTTAAACTGTACTTTTTAAATTACAGAGTACAGCTTCAATTAATGTAGTCCCCACTGTAAAATGCAGGTCTCACAAATTATTTACTGTTTAATTAAATATCACTTTTAACGTTACTTATGTCAGCTTCAAGGAAACCTATAGCATTAGGAATACAACGTCAAATAAAATGAATTAAAGAAATTATTTACTTACCTTTTTCCAGCGTGGAGGCTCCTTCAGTGTTACTCATTTGTCTGCCTCCCACAACGTCATCCGGCAATGCTCCAATCCAATGCTCCTCATGTCCTTTATGCATCCAAGCTTCCCCATACGAAAGCATTGTATTCCTAGACGTGGATATGACCTAAATTCACCTCTAGACTTAAAAGATTGCTAACCTTTCATTGCAGGGTTAAAAGGAAAGGACCACTGCAACCAACCTGCTGCATTGAGATTTATTAGGTTGGGTACCTTTAGTGTCCCATTAAGCAAAATATACCTATAGCTATGCAAGAGCAGATCTATAAATCTACTATGAGTTATAGTACTTAAGCAAAATGCTGTAATGAAGCATCCCAATGCCAAAATGACAGCACATTCTTTTTATTATATATCATAGCAACTTTGAGAAATCAACAAAAGTAAATAATTTACTTGTGTGCAATGGAATCCACTTCAATCGTTAGACCTAGACAGGGAGGAATGGCCCAACCACCCTTACTCCTCTTCAGGAACTTTCTGATTGAATTATTGCAGGACCCACCCAGTGGGCAGATCAGCATTATGGCATATAATTTAATTTAGTTTTAAGCAGTTTTATTTTTCTTATATTGGTTTCCACTGAAAATATGACAACTACTGGTGTTATTTTATAGGAGTAATTCATCAAAGTATCTAACATTTCTAATGTTTAAAGTAAGATTCCATGAGATAAGAAGGGAAGATGCCTTTTTACAACCATGACAGGAATATGAACCTTTGATGAATAGATACTAAAAATGTGCTTTAAAGTCAAAGTGCTTGAAAACAGCTTTAAATTCAGTGAACTTTGATTAACACAGTTGGCTTAGCTATGACATGGTGAACATTTGGCTACTTTTAAACACATCATTTAGAAATAAGTGTCAACATACTATGACATAATGCCACATCTGAACCTGGGCAAAAGTATTTTTTAATTTTATTTTTGCGTATGGGAACACATACGCAAATCCCATGAGAAGATTAGAACCCCATCAAAGTAATGAGAAACTAGTCTTACCAAAACATTTGAGAGAAATGTGGTCTGGGAGTTGGAAGTAGGCATCTGACAGACCTACTAAGAACTACAACAGACCCTGCAATATAACCCTTCTGTTTCCACTTTCCATAGTCAGAAAGTGAGGCTTATTTGTTATAAACAGGCATCTCGAGCTATCCGTTGCCGTCCTGTATTTTGTTATATCGGAGTTGAAACTAATAGTATGGACACCCTAATAACCAGCGGAAGTTTCAAGCTCCCTTGCTTTTCACTGATGTCACCCATTCTCTATGTCAGGGATAGGCAACCTGATGACATATGTGCTCAAGCTGAATAGAAGCTAGTAGCATACATTAAGCAAGTACATGTATGGGGGAATTCTGTACCAGAACAATGACGCAGATTAGAAGTACTTGGTTCACCTTCTCGATTCTGACAAGTCAACAACCCCAGTTGTACAGTGGTCCACATGAGGTCAATAGCCCATTTCCATGTTAGATAAAAGATTGCACACCAAGGTTCCATGTACACGTATATATCAATATTATAGCACAGGGGTAGGAAACCTTTGAGCATCACTGTGCCGAAATAGGATTGTGATGTCCCGTAGAGTGCCGCTCCTATTTTTTTAAATTGAGACATGCATGTTGCCGTATTCTGCTTGTGTTATTTATACTGCAGTTGCTTTGTATCGTTGTATTTGTGCGTATATAAGCTATTATATTGTATATATTCATGAGTAGTTTGTGGTATTGTAATGATACCTAGGCATGTGGGCTGTGTTTGGGGGCTGCTTGTGGAATTGTGTGTGTGGATGGATATGTCACATTGTGTGTTTGGTAGTGTGTGTATGTGTGGGGCTGTTTGGGTATTGCATGTGAGACACTACAGATATCTGAAGTTTCACTGGGACTCCTGATAGGCCAGAGCCTGTTTAGCTCTGGCAGCCTCAAGTGCCGTGCCAAGACACCTCAAGTGCCGTGCATGTCACACGTGCCATAGGTTGCCTACCTCTGTTATAGCATGGTCAATATGTGTTTTAGTCTTGCAGATTGTATCCACAAATATGGAGTCAGCTCAAAAATATGTTTAGTTATGCTTGCTAAAAATACTTCAGCAGGATTCATAGGAGCACAAGGGAAAACTGCCTTCTTTTATTGCAACGTTCTGTAGTTCAATTTTCTAAATACAGTGTATGGATGTCAGGATCGTGACAGGGATCCAACACGCAGAATACAAACAGGAGATAGGTACGTATACCGGACCTTAGAATGGCCGGACTAACGTAAGGAGAAAGCAAAGAATGGTCAGAGACAAGCCGAGGTCGAGGGAACGAGAGAGTAGGTAAGCGAGAGACAAGCCGAGTCAAAAGGACAAGAGAGGAAAGCAGGGTCAAAAATACAAGCCGAGTCAGGAACCAAAAGACAATAGAGGTAAGAGCACTGAGTGACCAGACTAGCTAGAACCACGACAGGGCAATGAATCATTCCACAAAACCCTCTTTTATACCTTGGCTCTTTAACTGTTGGCCCCGCCCCCAACGAGTCCTGATTCGTTGTTCGGCACTTGGTTGCCGTGATTGACGGGTCGGAACGTGATTGCCGTCATGACGTCGGCTACTGAGCGCCGCGTCATAAAAGGAGGCAGAGCTATCGCGGCCGGCGTGTAAACGGCCGGGAGGACTGCGAGGATCGGGTGAGTCAGCCCCCCTAGGAGGATGGACGTCTAGGTGTCTAACCTCCTCCGAGGTAGACACCAGAGGTAACCTGACAATGGAACAGCGCACACACAAAAAACAGTTTTAAAGTTTACAAGGTACACAGCAAACCAATATGAGGATTTATTTTCACCATATGACCATAGTACCTCAAAATCGGTGGGTACTACACTAAATTTTGGTCTATATGGCAGCACCACTGCTGAGAAATGCATGTTCGAGGTGTCCCCCAATTCTTTTTTCCCCTCTATCTAGTTCCATATACTGTCCAGTTTTCCATTAGGGTCCACTCAAGTTTAACATGAGTTAATCAGATACACTTTTTCTCTAAATCTTATTTTCTTCTGATTTTCCAGCCCAGGTGCCAATTAACCTCTTCGTAGGAAGTGCTATTACAATGTATGTTAGATTTTATTGAGTGTTATGTGTTTATTAATTTATTTATGTACTTTGCAGATATGTAATTAATAGCTGGATGATCCTATATGGCTAGATAATGGGACACCCCTCTTCCTTAGTAGAATGTGATGTTGCTATTTTTGTAAAGTCTTATAATATATATTAATCTCATTATTTATTTCAGGTGGCAGCTAAAAACAGTGCTGGCACTGGGTCATACAGTGAATCATTTCTATTTCAGACTGCAGAAAGTGGTAAGACATCTTACTCTCCCATAAAGACCTTTTTTTATCTCAATCTCTGTACTTTGCTTTATTTTACTCTATAGTTATTGTTTACTGCGTCATGTAGAAAACTTAAAACTTGGATATTTTTTTAGAATATATGTTGCAAACGTAGAACGAAAGTGGATGATTAGTACCTTCAAATCATGCAAATCATGAAAAACCTCATATGACAGCTCTTTCACCGTCTGCATGGGATTTACAGGTTTATTACATTTGGCTGTATATAATGAATAACAATTACTGCACACCGTCTGCATTTTACTGCACAGTGAGGATGTGAATGTCAAAATCTTGCCCTTGGAGTGTGGGATTGGAACTGTTTAATATGAATACGAAGAACTGAAACTTCAAGGATAAAGGAGGAAAATAGGCAGCATGTAAAAAGAGAAATAATACATCAGATCAATTCATGGATGTATTAGGAATAAGTTATCCTCCCTTTCTCTGGTTTCTGAATTTATAAGAAAAATATGAACTTAATTTTGATATTTTGGAATGTAAAAATGTCAAAACCAAGCTCTATATTACTAAATGCTCTCTATGGTGAGTCCAGATCAGGGATAGTCAACCTTTCCGCGCTAAGCACTCTGTGGAAACGGCACTGACCAAAGTATCCAATGATCTACTCACTGCAAAATCTCATGGTCACTACTCTATCCTAGTTCTCCTGGACCTGTCTGAGGCTTTTGACACTGTTGATCATCAACAGCTTCTTCTCATCCTCCGCAATATTGGTCTACAAGATATTGCTCTCTCCTGGTGCTCCTCCTACCTCTCACAGCACTCTTTCAGTGTTTCTTTCTTTCTTTGGCTCTTCTTCTTCTCCCCAACTCCTCTCTGTTGCTCCTCCCCAGGGTTCAGTCCTTGGTCCCTCTATCTATACTGCCTCCATTGGTAAACTCATTAGCTCCTTTGGCTTCCAATATCATTTCTATGCAGATGACACGCAAATCTACCTGTCCTCTCCTGATCTCTTCCCATCCCTCTTCACTAGTGTCTCTGACTGCCTCTCTGCTATTTCTAGCTGGAT